GCCTTCCTCTCCAGGACACCTGTCATTGGAACTAGAAGCACCTAAACCCAGGATGATCTCAAGATGCAAGGTGGTGCACTCTGGGAGGCTGAGGCAGAAGGATCACAAATTCAAGCCAATCTGGGTAACTTAACTAGACTCTGTCAAAACGCAAAAATAGAAAAGAGCTGCTGGGTATGTATCTCAATGCAGAATGCCCTAGATTCAATTCCAAGTTCTGAAAAAAAAAATCCTTGACTACAAGTGCAAAGATCCTGTTTATTATGTATTATGTGGTTCCCAGGGCTGCTTGCTGCATCCCCCCTCTCCCCCTGCATATGGGTCCTCCAGCTTGATCAGGAGGACCCCAGTGAGGGCTGCTTTGGCTCCCACCCACCTCTGACTGTTCCAGAATGAAGAGTCCAGGCCAGTACAGGATGCTGCCTTCCTCAAAACCTCCTCTGTACTGGACAGGCGGATGCCTGGAATTCCACAGGAATTCCCCTGGGAACCTAGTGACCGAAACCAAGGCAGCTCTGAGGCTGGGGCCCAGGCTGAGCTGGTACAGCTCTGATCTGCACTCTGGTGGGGCCCTGGCTCCTGCCTGTGGGTCCCCTTGAAATTACACACACACACACACATACACACACACACACACACCCCTAGGAGTCACAGACAGCCCCGGCACCACAGCTGTGGAATCGCATCTTCGCTGCATGCACAAGGCCTGGCCTGCAGCACAGCCGGAGCCACACCTGTCCACAGGGCCACCTGAGACTGCTTGGGGGCACGTCGGTCTAGTCTGAACGTGGATCCTGCTCTGCAGCCTCAGACAAACTATTCACCTTCTCTGTGCGAACTCAGATGACGTCTTTCTTAATTGCTTTTCTCGCTGCTGAGACAAAATACTCAATACCAAATGAGGACAGGTTTATTTCTGCTCATAGTTTGTAAAGGTTTCAGTCCATGCTCCAAGGCAGGGTAGGCAGGAAACAGCACAGCAGCAGCAGCAGCCTCTCCTTTTATCCTTTTTGGGTGGTGTCACCATGGTGGCCTTTCCATTATCCATACCCAGAACAATGCTAAACCAGTGAACTAATTCAGCAATTACGCACCCCTCATCCCAGCATCACACCCTTAGGATCACACACCCCATAACCAGCCATCTCCAAAAAGCCCCACCTATGAGCACATGTGGCTAGAAACAAGCCATAATGGGTAGTGATAGCGCCCACCCCAAGGGCAGCTAGGAAGACTTCCTACAAGTAGAAACCCAGACGACAAGTCTCACAAGCCGGGCAGAGGGCTGCGGGCCCGTGATCCTGAGAGGAAGACTGTGAGTTCAAGACCATTCTTGGCAACTTAGTGAGACCCTATCTCAAAATAAAAGATTAAAATATAAAGGGCTGAGACGTATCTCAGTGTGAGGACCTCACAACACAAAAACAGAAACCCCAGACAAGTGCTGACTTCCGCAGCACGTACGCTAAAATCGGAACGACACAGAGATTAGCACGGCCCCTGCAAAGGGATGACACTCAAATTCGTGAAGGGGTCCGTATTGATAGGATGAAAACAACTTTGGGAATATGCAAAAGAGGCTGGAAGAGAAGGAAGAAGAAGAGGAGGAGGAGGAGGAGGAAGAGGAAGAAGAGAAATGGCTAAAGACGCTAAATGACAAAAAGAATTCTTCAAACACTTCAGCGATGACAGAGATGATCCCAAACACCCACCAGGTCAACAGCAACCTGAGGAGCACAGGCCAGAAACAGGAGTCAGTCTTTTTGCTGGTGTTGTTGTTGTTTTGTGAGACAGGGTCTCACTGTGTAGTTGAGACTGACTGGAACTCACTATGTAGCCCAGCCTGGTCTCGAACTCACAGCGATCCTCCTGCCTCAGCCTCCTGAGTGCTGGGATTACAGACGTGCGCCACTGTCAGTCAGTCTTAAATCTGTGTGCTTCTAACAGTCCTGGCCAGCCTGACTCTGTGAGAATGAAGAAGCGACCTGCGGTAGCATATCGGACACACTTGAGGAGGAAGATAGCGGCACTGTGCCATGAAAAAGAAAACTGGTTCCACTGGATTATTGCGAAGATGGTAGAAATGCTACCTGAGGCTCTGAACACCAAAGAAAAATGCAGGCACTGAGCCTCTCTGAGAAGATCCCAATGGCGAAGTGCTTGCTCTCTTCTCATCCCTGGGCTTGGTCCTCTGTGGAGTCTCCTACTGACCAATGAAATGTTGGATTAGACCAGGGATTCATAAGGAGATCACAGCACACATAGGTGAAGAGGAAGCTATACTCGCTGATCTTGTCTGTTCAGAGGTTATGGCTCAGAGTTCACCTCAGAGCTTTTTTTGTTTGTTTATTTTTTTGTTTTTGAGATGGGGTCTCACTATGTAGTTGAGACTGACCTGTAACTCACTATGTAGCCCAGGCTGGTCTCGAACTCATAGCGATCCTCCTGCCTCAGCCTCCCCAGTGCTGGGATTACAGGCGTGCGCCACCATGCCCGGCACCTCAGAGCATTTTAGATGCTGCTGCCTTGGAACTTGAGGAAGAAGCAGGTGTTTACAGTCAAAATGTGGAGATTATTGATAGGCAGAACGGAGGCCAAGAACATTGGTCTTGTGAAGTAAAACTCTTTTTACAGTTAGGACTCTATGTCCAGTATCTTATTTCACATCCTTTAAAGGACTTTGAATTTTTCTTTGTCCTCAAAGATATTTGTGAGATCTGTATTTTTTTTAAATGTAGAAAACGTGAATTTCTTCGTCCTCTAATTTGTTGATGACCCATATACTCCCTTGGTTATAAAATCATAGGACTCCTTGGTTCTCTTTAGACTCCAGGTACAGAGGATTGCTACGCTTTACAAGATGCAGCCGCTGTACGCAGCCTATGTGACATAATCTTGCTCTGCTGATTTGCTCCTTGTGAATATTAAAATGGCCTCCCCAAAACAAGAAGCCCCCAGCCTGAACCAGTTCTGCTTCCCCTCCCCACCCCACAGTCTGGATGGGGGCCATCAGGGACCGGATGGGGCCTTTGGGGACAGGCACTGCGTCATCTCCGGTTCACACAGAGCTGCCTTCTGTCTGACCACAGACACCCCAAGGTGGCCACTTCAAGAGGAAATGAGGCCCAGGCCCCAGCTGCCGCAGCCCCCCCAAAGGGGCCCCCATCCTTCTGTGAATGTCTTCCCCAGGGACCCTTCATCAGCAGCACCCCACACACCCTGTGGGAACAGAGGGATTTCTGACCCATGACTCCTGTCTTGTGATACCCAAACGCCGGTGTCCTGGGCGGCCATGCTAGGCTTGACGGGGCAGGGAGCAGAGACGCACAAAGGTCATCGCAGGCCAGATCCTTCCCTCCCTAAGCCTCAGCCTGCACATCTAGGAAAGAGGAGGAGAAGAGTAGCCACCCACCGGGTACAGTGGCGCACTCCCTTAAATTCAGCTCCCTGGGAGGCTGAGGCAGGAGGACTGCTCACTGGAGTCCAGCCTGGACAACTTAGAGCGAACGTATCTCAACATAAAAAACAGAAAGGACTGGGGATGTAGCTCAGTGGTAAAGCGCCTCTGGGTGTGATTCTTTCATTTACTGAGAAAAAGTCGATGGAGCCTTAAGGCGATTAGGTACTGGGCATGGGTGGGGTTGGAGCACCAGAAACTTTTCTACCCTGGGAAGCTGAGGGTGCAGGCTTCGTGGGGCCTGACGCCACCTGGTCGCAGATGAAATGAGGACCCGCGTGCCACACAGGAGCAGGGCGGGCGCCCCGGGGGAGCAGGGCCACAGTCCCGGGGATGGAAGCCGGGCCAGAGAGGGGGGTCACCGCTGCCCTAGAAAGAAAGTCCAGTATCTGCAGCTACACTGCCTGCCTGACTGCATCCGCGCGGGGAGGGGAGGTGTCAGCGGACAGAGCCCACCACGTGGAGTCTGAGGTGTGCTCTGTCCCGTGCCTAAAGAATCGCTTTAGGTGTTCTGACGGCCAGCCACCCCTGGCTGCACAGGGCCGTGCGTAAAGGCTGCCCGAGCTGCCACGCTTTCTGTGTCCCTGTGGGAGGCAGGCAGCCAACATGGCGCTGCAGCCATCTAGGAATCTTGTGCATACCTGTAGTGCCAGCACTCTGGAAGGCTGAGGCAGGAGGGTCACAAGTTCGAGCCTAGCCTGGGCAACTTAGCGACTTAGAGCTGGGGGTGTAGCTCAGTGTGAAGGCCCTGGATTCAGTTCCCAGTACCTTAAAAATAATAGATATGTGGGGCTAAAGTGAACTCATTATGTGATAAAGGATACATATTTTTAGAGGAAATGCCTAGCCATAAATAACAAATAAAATCCAGGAACATCTTAAAAAGCAGCACTGGGCCAGGCCTCCTGGCACCCTGGGAATCCCCCTCTGGCCCGTGGAGGCCCTGTGGTTTCCGTTTGCTGTGCTGCCCGGGCAGGGGACACCTCGTGCCAGTCCCCTGACTGCACTGCGGGGGCAGCGGCAGGGCCAGAGCTTGGCCCCGGTCCGGCTTTCAGAGGAGGAGGCGGGGAAGGGTTGGGGCCAAGGAACAGCCCACCCTCCTTCGGACCCCTCGGCACAGAGCTGAGTCACTCAGGATGGCCTGGGCAGTGGGGCTCGGAGGTGGGGCTGGGCCCACAGTCACTGTCCTGGGAGGCATTTCCTGGAACAGGGCCCTTTGGCTGCCTGCACCGTCCCCTGCCTCGTGAACATATCTTGAACAGGTTTCCGGTGCTGGCAGTGGACAAACGTCACCTCACTCAACCCCACACCCCTTCTCAGGAGGAGCCATATCACCATACTTCACCCATAAGAAAGCAAGCACAGAGAGGCCAAGTGACTGGCCTAAAGTCACACAGCACAGGGTGTGAGTTCTTGATGGCCACTCTGCTGCCTCCCTGAGGAAGAGCCAGAAACAAGGGGAGGGGGACAAAGGGACGACGCTGTGCCACCCTAGGCCCATTGTTTCGCTCCTTCCCTCTACTCCCCGTGTTTCCCACACGCAGAGGGTGTCACCACCCACCAGTCACCCAAGACTGCTGCAGCCTCCCCAAGCCTGCCCGAAGTGGGGTCTTCCTTGGAGCCAGGCTGGCCTTGAACTCTGAGGGCAGTGACTGAACATTCGTGGATCCCGACCAGGTACTCGCAGGGGGCCCTGTTGCCGGCGCTCACAGAAGCGTGGAGATGCAGTGGCTCCACCCGGGGTCACAGGTCGCGGCAGCCGTGCAGGTAGAAGGGGCACCCTGCCCCACCTTGTCGCGCCCCTGGTGTCGGTGACTTCACCTGGGCAGGGCACCCTGGGTGGGCCAGCTCGAGCCTCTTCCCTCGGAGCTGCGACATCCTGGCCCCATCTCCGGCGGCCTCCAGGCCTCAGGGCCTGCCAGAAAGCCCCCGCCCGAGGCTGTGCCCAGTCCCCAGCCTGACCCGCCGGCCTTTCAGAGAACAGGAGCCGGAGAAGGGATGCGTGCAGAGGGCGGGACCGACGGCCTGGACCGGTGGGTGCACAGACCCGCTGCGGAAGGTGCGAAGCGGACAGCGGCTGGGTGTGTGGCCGAGGTGGCACCGCATGTGAGTGGCGGAGAGGAGCCCTGTACTGTGGAGCACGGAAAACACACACAGGCACACACAGATACGGACACAGGCACAGACATGCACGTACACTAATACACACAGCCTGGCTTTTCTCAGCCCAGCACAGCCCCCTGGAGGCCACGGGGGTAAATTAATTAATTTTTGAGACATTCTTGATAGGTAGTCCAGGCTGGCCTTGAACTCATCCTCCTGCCTCAGCCTCCAGAATGCTGGGATTACAGGCGTGTCTACCACGCCTGGACACTGGGTGATTTTAAAGAAATATCCTGAAAACAGCCTTGTTCAGCCAGAGCCTTGGAATCTTTTTCCATTTCTTTTCTTTCAACCAACTTGATTAAGACATAATTATCCAGTGTCCTTCTTGCCCTTAATGCTGGACGGAAGGAAGCTGTAAGGTGAGAACACTGCAAAAGGATAAGACGAGGACTCCCCAGGAGTAAGGTGGAGCCACGCCTCAGAGGGTCTGAGAAGGGGCTTCCCTGTTCCCCGCAGCCCAGGTTCCCTCGGAGGTGGGGCCATCTCAACCACACCACGCCCACCACCCGACCACGCCTCCACGCCTGGCCACGCCCACCTGCCCGTTGAGGGGCGGGTCCTTTCCCGGCCAATGGGGACCCTCAGTGCCTCCCTCCCGTCTGGACAGCTGGGGTGCACACTCATCCGCCGACGCCCAGCTGCACTTGGGGAGCCCACCACAAGCAAAAGGGCGCCACCCCTGCCGTGCTGGAGCTCTCAGTTTAGCGGGAGAGAAACGGGACCGTGAGTGAGAAATCGGAATATCCCCGGATGAGACAGAGGGTGGAATCCGGCGGAGGGGAGGGCAGGAGAGGGGATGGGCTGAGCACCGCGGCTGCGGGACGCGGAGGAAGAGGAGAGGAGACCGGGAATGTCCGGGGCACCGTGTCCAGCAGAGCGAACAGGCGGAGGTCCGAAGCCGGGAGCGGGCCCAGCTTGGCGG